GTATGCCTGGAGTCTGCCTACACTTAGCAGAAGATTACATTTTTTCGGCATCAAATACGTTAGGTACGAAACCAACGTTGAAGATGTAAAGAAAGCAATCGAAGAGGAAATGGAGGGTCCAGGGCAGTATCTAGGGTATCGAGCAATGCAGAGAAAAATACGAGAGCAACATAAATTGGCTGTCCCTCGCAATCTGGTCCATGATGTTATGGGTATGGTGGACCCCGAAGGACTGACTAGGCGAGGGAATGTTGGTCAAAAAAAACGACAAAGAGGAGCTACTGGAACGTTCACATCATTGGTAAGTTCTCCCACCTTTTTGTGGCAGGTGCCCAAATATGTAAAATTCATTGAAGCATTTCCCCTGATCCCTTAGAGTAAGCCGTTGCGAAGAAGATTAAATATATGGGATCAAATGGCATGTTCTGGCAACCTACCTCGAACCATCCAACTTATCTGCCTGTGCTTTTATCATGAATTTCAATCTAGTGTAACATGTTTTTAGACATCTGGAAAAGACATTTTAAAGGCAACGCAAGTAACTGGGGTATCTGTGTGCTAAAAGCTCTCATTATCTTGCTTGTCCTTTTAAAGATTGCCAAACAAAATCCATATCAGGACATTCTGGTGATAATATATGTTGATCTCAACTTGCTTATGCATGCCTGCCTATAGGTACAAATACTTGACTGATGGTCCAGGCCTTTTTGATTATCCAAAACATGGTGGATTTGGACACAAGCAAACCTGCTTCCCTTCCCCATTTCTTTTCGTCTTTCAGTTTGGTGAGTTCCCATAAATTTTCTGGACTTCCCTAATCCGATCAGCCAAGGATCCCCCTTCTGTAATAGGCTTATGATCATAGTGTCATGTCATAGTAGTTATTTTATTATGTTGTCTTGTATATAGGGACCTAATCACACTCATTCTGGGGATGGCCACGACAAGCTAATGGGTTTCATGAATAGCACTTTTCCTTTAGCTGTTTACGGCTTGCAAGATGCCTTTAGTGGATACATTTTGTATCTGAAATTATGGACCACAAACTCTGACCCTAAGCTTATTGGTCGTTGGTACATGGATCATCTGTACAAAACAAAAGGTAACATTGGTCCTGTATGCAAAATATATACAATGGCAATTGCAGACTGATCATGATACAGTCAAAGCTGAACCATAGTTAACTAAGGTTAAGCTCTACATCCCGGGGAGGGGTACTCCCATATATAAAGCTTATAGGTATGTGCTGCTGTGAAGGGTAGGGTTTTTGAGCAGTTTAGTCTAGGATAGGGTATTAAAAATCAGAGCATTTTAGTCTGGAATAGGGTATCATTTACCGTATAAGCAACTTCCTGTGACAGAAATAAAGTTCCTGGAGACTAGCAAGTCTGGAATAGGGTGGTAATTTTACGCATCTAGTCTAGAAGAGAGTCGCAAAATTCAAACATGATCTAGTATAGGGTAAGGGTCTCAGAGTCCCAGCAACACACCCCTACCCAAAATATCCAGAGCCCCCCCTGGGCTCTACATACATGTACGATTTTTTAAGCTTTATTTATTTATTTATTTATTTACTTATTTTATTATCTTTTTTTCATTCAAGTGATCAGTAAATATCTGAGGCTGGATAAAGGAACTGAGACAGGGCACATGGCTACTATTCACGCTTTTTTAAGGCAAGAGCAAGATGAGGAGGCAGATACAGTTTTTTATGGTCCTTCAACAAATAACAAGGTAAGGCAGTTAACTAAACACTTTCCGACAATAAAACATCAGTTTGGTGCCCACTTAGGCTTTTCTGAATTTTGATGTAGATTTTAATGATGGTAATGAAAATGCACGAATCCATGCTTCACTTTCCAAAAACCTTTTTTCTGACCTATACATTTAAGGGTAATAAC